TCCCCATTGACCATTCCTGCTCCCCATTGCCCCCTACTGCTCCCCATTGCCCCCTACTGTTTCCTATTGCCCCCTACTGCTCCCCATTGCCCCCTACTACTCCATCGCTCCCTACTGCTCCCCATTGACCATTCCTGCTCCCCATTGAACCCGTCATGGTCCATGTTGACCCATATTGCTCCCCATTGACCCATCCTGCTCCCCATTGACCAGTCCTGCTCCCCATTGACCAGTCCTGCTCCCCATTGACCCGGTCATGGTCCATGTTGACCCATATTGCTCCCCATTGACCCATCCTGCTCCCCATTGACCAGTCCTGCTCCCCATTGACCCATCCTGCTCCCCATTGACCATTCCTGCTCCCCATTGACCCGGTCATGGTCCATGTTGACCCATATTGCTCCCCATTGACCCATCCTGCTCCCCATTGACCAGTCCTGCTCCCCATTGCCCCCTACTGCTCCCCATTGCCCCCTACTGTTTCCTATTTCCCCCTACTGCTCCCCATTGACCATTCCTGCTCCCCATTGACCCGGTCATGGTCCATGTTGACCCATATTGCTCCCCATTGACCCATCCTGCTCCCCATTGACCAGTCCTGCTCCCCATTGACCATTCCTGCTCCCCATTGCCCCCTACTGCTCCCCATTGCCCCCTACTACTCCATCACTCCCTACTGCTCCCCATTGACCATTCCTGCTCCCCATTGACCCGGTCATGGTCCATGTTGACCCACATTGCTCCCCATTGACCCATCCTGCTCCCCATTGACCAGTCCTGCTCCCCATTGACCAGTCCTGCTCCCCATTGACCCGGTCATGGTCCATGTTGACCCATATTGCTCCCCATCTCTCCCCCCCCCATTGCAGGTGAGAAGCCCCACCAGTGCTCGGTGTGCTGGCGTTCCTTCTCGCTGCGGGACTACCTGCTCAAGCACATGGTGACCCACACGGGCGTGCGGGCCTTCCAGTGCCCGCTGTGCGCCAAGCGCTTCACGCAGAAGAGCTCGCTCAACGTGCACATGCGCACGCACCGCCCCGGCCGCTTCCAGTGCCCGCTCTGCGCCAAGGCCTTCTCCCACCGCACCCTCCTGGAGCGCCACGCCGCCACCGGGCACCCCGGGGTGGAGGCGTTGGGGGCAGCGTTGGGGCCGTCGACGTCATTGGGGCCGTCGACGTCATTGGGGTCATCGTTGGGGCCGTCAACGTCTTTGGGTTCATCGTTGGGGCCGTCAACGTCATTGGGTTCATCGTTGGGGCCATCAACGTCATTGGGGCCGTCAACGTCATTGGGGCCGTCAACGTCATTGGGTTCATCGTTGGGGCCGTCAACGTCATTGGGATCAGCGTTGGGGCCGGCGGCAGCGTTGGGGTCGTCAACGTCATTGGGGTCATCATTGGGGCCGTCAACGTTATTGGGGTCATCGTTGGGGCCGTCGATGTCATTGGGGTCAGCGTTGGGGCCAGCAGGAGCGTTGGGGTCATCAACGTCATTGGGGTCATCGTTGGGACCGTCAACGTCGTTGGGGCCGTCAACGTCATTGGGGTCATCGTTGGGGCCGTCAACGTTATTGGGGTCATCGTTGGGTTCGTCAACGTCATTGGGTTCATCGTTGGGGCCGTCAACGTCATTGAGGTCATCGTTGGGGCCGTCAACGTCATTGGGGGCAGCGTTGGGACCGGCGGCAGCGTTGGGGTCATCAACGTCATTGGGGCCGTCAACGTTATTGGGGTCAGCGTTGGGGCCGTCAACGTCATTGGGGCCGTCAACGTCATTGGGTTCATCGTTGGGGGCAGCATTGGGGCCGTCGGCGGCGTTGGGGTCATCAACATCATTGGGGCCGTCAACGCCATTGGGGTCATCGTTGGGGCTGTCGGCATCATCGGGGTCACCGTTGGGGCCATCAACGTCATTGGGGCCGTCAACGTCATTGGGGTCAGCGTTGGGGCCGTCAACAGCATTGGGATCATCATCGGGGCCCTCAGCAGCATTGGGGTCATCGTTGGGGCCATCGGCATCGTTGGGGGCAGTGTTCGGCCCGTCAACGTCATTGGGGCCATCAACGTCATTGGGGTCATCATTGGGGCCGTCGGCAGCATTGGGGTCAACAGCACCATTGGGGTCTCCATTGGGGCCGTCGGCGTCCCTGGGGTCACCACTGGGGCTGTCAACATCATTGGGGTCAATGGCATCATTGGGGTCCCCGTTGGGGCCATCAACGTCATTGGGGTCCCCATTGGGGCCGTCGGCATCGTTGGGCTCATCGGCATCATTGGGGTCCCCATTGGGGCCATCAATGTCATTGGGGTCGTCGTTGGGGCCGTCAACGTCGTTGGGGTCTATGGCAGCAATGGGGTCCCCACTGGGGCCGTCAACGTCATTGGGGTCATCACTGGGGTCAACAGCATCATTGGGGCCACCATTGGTGCCGTCAGCATCATTGGGGTCCGCAGCACCATTGGGGTCACAGTTGGGGGCATCAACATCGTTGGGGTCAACAGCATCATTGGGGTCATCATTGGGGCCATCGACACCATTAGGGTCAACACTGGGGCCATCACTGGGGCCGTTGGCGTCGGTGGGGTCAACAGCATCATTGGGGGCACCAGTGGGGCCGTCAGCATCAGTGGGGTCAGCAGCATCATTGGGGCCACCAACACCATTGGGGTCATCATTGGGGCCATCAGCATCATTGGGGCCATCGACATCGTTGGGGTCAACAGCACCATTGGGGTCAACAGCACCATTAGGGCCATCCTTGGGGTCAACAGCATCATTGGGGCCACCAACATCAATGGGGCCACCCTTGGGGCCATCAACATCAATGGGGCCATCAACATCAATGGGGCCACCCTTGGGGCCAGCATCAGCACCGTTGGGGCCCCCAGCAGCCCCGGGGGGTGCTGAGCCTGTGGGTGCCAGCCCCACTCGCACCACCTGAGGCCGACCCATAGGGATGGGGTGGGAATGGTGTGGTTATGGGGTGGGTTGGGGGGCACTTAGGGGTCCCCGGTGTCCCCTCCCCATTGATGGGGACAACCAAGACATGGCCTCGAAGCTCGCTTGTTGTGCTGTTTTTTGTCCTTCGGGGCCCCATAAATAGGGGGTGGCGACCAATGGGGAGGGATCCCCGCCCTCCCCAGGTCTCTGTTGAACCAATGGGATGCGAGAAGGGGTTGGGGGAGCCAATGAGCGCGTCCGGCATCCTCCCGGGGTCGATGATGGGAACCAATCAGGTGCGTCCAATGGGGTGGGACCGTTCCCATTGAGGATTGGTCCAATTGGATGCTCTGTTGGTTGATGATGGGAACCAATCAGGTGCGTCCAATGCGGTGGGACCGTTCCCATTGAGGATTGGTCCAATTGGATGCTCCGGGGGTTGATGATGGGAACCAATCAGGTGCGTCCAATGGGGTGGGACCGTTCCCATTGAGGATTGGTCCAATTGGATGCTCCGGATGATGGGAACCAATCAGGTGCGTCCAATGGGGTGGGACCGTTCCCATTGAGGATTGGTCCAATTGGATGCTCCGGTGATGATGGGAACCAATCAGGTGCGTCCAATGGGATGGGACCGTTCCCATTGAGGATTGGTCCAATTGGATGCTCCCGGGGTTGATGATGGGAACCAATCAGGTGCGTCCAATGGGGTGGGACCGTTCCCATTGAGGATTGGTCCAATTGGATGCTCCGGGGGTATGATGGGAACCAATCAGGTGCGTCCAATGGGGTGGGACCGTTCCCATTGAGGATTGGTCCAATTGGATGCGTCCGGGGTATGATGGGAACCAATCAGGTGCGTCCAATGGGGTGGGACCGTTCCCATTGAGGATTGGTCCAATTGGATGCTCCGTTGGTTGATGATGGGAACCAATCAGGTGCGTCCAATGGGGTGGGACCGTTCCCATTGAGGATTGGTCCAATTGGATGCTCCGTTGATGATGGGAACCAATCAGGTGCGTCCAATGGGGTGGGACCGTTCCCATTGAGGATTGGTCCAATTGGATGCTCCGTTGATGATGGGAACCAATCAGGTGCGTCCAATGGGGTGGGACCGTTCCCATTGAGGATTGGTCCAATTGGATGCTCCGTTGATGATGGGAACCAATCAGGTGCGTCCAATGGGGTGGGACCATTCACAATGAGGATTGGTCCAATTGGATGCTCTGTTGGTTGATGATGGGAACCAATCAGGTGCGTCCAATGGGGTGGGACCGTTCCCATTGAGGATTGGTCCAATTGGATGCTCCGGGGTTGATGATGGGAACCAATCAGGTGCGTCCAATGGGGTGGGACCGTTCCCAATGAGGATTGGTCCAATTGGATGCTCCGTTGGTTGATGATGGGAACCAATCAGGTGCGTCCAATGGGGTGGGACCGTTCCCATTGAGGATTGGTCCAATTGGATGCTCCGTTGATGATGGGAACCAATCAGGTGCGTCCAATGGGGTGGGACCGTTCCCATTGAGGATTGGTCCAATTGGATGCTCCATTGGTTGATGATGGGAACCAATCAGGTGCGTCCAATGGGGTGGGACCGTTCCCAATGAGGATTGGTCCAATTGGATGCTCCCGGGGTTGATGATGGGAACCAATCAGGTGCGTCCAATGGGGTGGGACCGTTCCCATTGAGGATTGGTCCAATTGGATGCTCCGTTGATGATGGGAACCAATCAGGTGCGTCCAATGGGATGGCACCGTTCCCAACGAGGATTGGTCCAATTGGATGCTCCCGGGGTTGATGATGGGAACCAATCAGGTGCGTCCAATGGGGTGGGACCGTTCCCATTGAGGATTGGTCCAATTGGATGCTCCGGGGGTTGATGATGGGAACCAATCAGGTGCGTCCAATGGGGTGGGACCGTTCCCAATGAGGATTGGTCCAATTGGATGCTCCGGGGGTTGATGATGGGAACCAATCAGGTGCGTCCAATGGGGTGGGACCGTTCCCAATGAGGATTGGTCCAATTGGATGCTCCCGGGGTTGATGATGGGAACCAATGGGGTGGGACCGCAAGGGGGAGCGGGAGCCGCGGCTCCTCCCGTGTCTGCACTCCTTGTGCGGGGGCTGCCTCCGAGCAGCGGCCGCGGGGAGCGGTGAGGGGAGGCCGCGCCGGTGGGGGGGGAATCGGGATGGGGATGGGAATGGGGATGGGAATGGGGCCGGGAATGGGGCTGGGAATGGGGCTGGGAATGGGGCAGTGGGGCTGGGAATGGGGCTGTGGGGCTGGGAATGGGGCTGTGGGGATGGGAATGGGGCTGTGGGGATAGGGTTGTGGGGATGGGAATGGGGTTGGGAATGGGGTTGTGGGGCTGGGAATGGGGCAGTGCGGCTGGGAATGGGGCCATAGGGATGGGAATGGGGTTGTGGGGATGGGAATGGGGCTGTGGGGATGGGAATGGGATTGGAATGGGGCTGGGAATAGGGCCACGGAGATGGGAATGGGGTTGTGGGGATGGGAATGGGGCCATAGAGATGGGAATGGGGCTGTGGGGATGGGGTTATGGGGCCTGGAATGGGGCTGGGAATGGGGTTGTGGGGATGGGAATGGGGCAATGGGGCTGGGAATGGGGCTGTGGGGATGGGAATGGGGTTGGGAATGGGGATGGGAATGGGGCAATGGGGCTGGGAATGGGGATGTATGGATGGGAATGGGGCTGTGGGGATGGGGTTGTGGGGATGGGAATGGGGTTGGGAATGGGGCAATGGGGATGGGAATGGGGCAGTGGGGATGGGGTTGTGGGGATGGGAATGGGGTTGGGAATGGGGCTGGGAATGGGGCAGTGGGGATGTGGGGCCGGGAATGGGGCTGGGAATGGGGATGTGGGGATGGGAATGGGGATGTGGGGATGGGAATGGGGCCATAGGGATGGGAATGGGGCTGGGAATGGAGCCATGGGGATGAGAATGGAGTTGGGAATGGGGCTGGGAATGGGGTCGGGAATGGGGCTGTGGGGATGGGAATGGGGCCGGGAATGGGGTTGGGAATGGGGCCATAGAGATGGGAATGGGCCGGGAATGGGGCTGTGGGGATGGGAATGGGGACATAGGGATGGGAATGGGGCTGGGAATGGGCCCGGGAATGGGGCTGTGGGGATGGGGTTTTGGGGATGTGGGGCTGGGAATGGGGCAATGTGGCTGGGAATGGGGCCATAGGGATGGGAATGGGGCTGTGGGGATGGGAATGGGGTTGGGAATGGGGCTGGGAATGGGGCCATAGGGCTGGGAATGGGGCCATGGGAATGGGGCTGGGAATGGGGTTGGGAATGGGGCTGGGAACGGGGCCATAGGGATGTGAATGGTGTTGTGGGGATGGGAATGGGATTGGGAATGGGGCTGGGAATAGGGCCACAGAGATGGGAATGGGGCTGTGGGGATGGGGATGGGAATGGGGTAATGAGGATGGGAATGGGGCTATAGGGATGGGAATGGGGCCGGGAATGGGGTTGTGGGGATGGGAACGGGGTTATGGAGATGGGAATGGGGTTGTGGGGCTGGGAATGGGGCCATAGGGATGGAAATGGGGTTGGGAATGAGGCCATAGGGATGGGAATGGGGCTGTGGGGATGGGAATGGGCTTGTGGGGATGGGAATGGGGCTGTGGGGATGGGAATGGGGCCGTGGGGCTGGGAATGGGGTTATGGGGCTGGGAATGGGGTTATTGATGTGGTATTGGGGTTGTGGGGCTGGGAATGGGGCTGTGGGGCAGGGAATGGGGGTTATCGGGTGGGGATGGGAATGGGGGTTGTGGGGATGGGAATGGGGTTGTGGGGCTGGGAATGGGGTTATGGGGATGGGAATGGGGTTGTGGGGATGGGAATGGGGCTGGGGATGGGGCTGTGGGGATGGGAATGGGGTCGGGAATGGAGCTGTGGGGATGGGAATGGGGTTATGGGGATGGGAATGGGGTTGTGGGGCTGGGAATGGGGCCGTGGGGCTGGGAATGGGGTTATTGATGTGGTGATGGGGTTGTGGGGCTGGGAATGGGGCCGTGGGGCTGGGAATGGGGTTATTGATGTGGTGATGGGGTTGTGGGGCTGGGAATGGGGTTGTGGGGCTGGGAATAGGGTTATTGATGTGGGGCTGGGAATGGGGGCATTGATGTGGGATTGGGGTTGTGGGGCTGGGAATGGGGGCATTGATGTGGGATTGGGGTTGTGGGGCTGGGAATGGGGTTATTGATGTGGGGCTGGGAATGGGGTTATTGATGTGGGGATGGGGTTGTGGGGCTGGGAATGGGGTTGTGGGGCTTGTGGGGCTGGGAATGGGGTTGTGGGGCTGGGAATGGGGTTGTGGGGCTGGGAATGGGGTTGTGGGGCTGGGAATGGGGGCATTGATGTGGGATTGGGGTTGTGGGGCTGGGAATGGGGCTGTGGGGCTGAGAATGGGGTTGTGGGGCTGGGAATGGGGTTGTGGGGCTGGGAATGGGGTTATGGGGCTGGGAATGGGGTTATGGTGCTGGGAATGGGGTTATGGGAATGGGGGCATTGATGTGGGATTGGGGTTGTGGGGCTGGGATTGGGGTTGTGGGGCTGGGATTGGGGTTGTGGGGCTGGGAATGGGGTTGTGGGGCTGGGAATGGGGTTATGGGGCTGGGAATGGGACCGTGCGGCTGGGAATGGGGTTGTGGGGCTGGGAATGGGGTTATGGGGCTGGGAATGGGGTTATTGATGTGGGGCTGGGAATGGGGGCATTGATGTGGGATTGGGGCCATCCCCCAGGCCTGGAGTGCCCCGTCTGCCACAGCCAGTGCCGGCCCCAGGACGTGGTGGAGAACTACTTCCTATGGGAGGGCAGCGCCGAGCCCCCCCCCGGCGGCCCGGGGACCAGCCAGGTAGCGCCAGCATTAGCGGCTAATTAGGGACTAATTAGTGCTTAATTAGCATGGCGTTATCGCCTCTTTACTGCCTTATTATTGGGGTGTTATTAGGGAATTATTAGGGCGTTATTAGGGCGTTATTAGTGTGTTATTAGTGTGTTATTAGGGCGTTATTAGTGTGTTATTAGCGCGTTATTAGTGTGTTGTTAGGGCGGTTAGTGTGTATTTAGGGCGTTATTAGTGCCTCATTAGGGCTTAATTAGCGCTTTGTTAGTGTGGTGTTATTGGTGAGTTATTAGCGTTTTATTAGGGCGCTATTAGTGTTTTATTAGGGCGTTATTAGAGTATTATTAGCGTGTTAGTAGCGCTTTTTTAGTGCTTTAACAGTGCTTAATTAGTGCGCCATTAGTGGTTATTTAGTGTGTAATTAGTGCGTTATGAGTGCGTAACTAGAGCGTTATTAGTGTCTAATTAATGCATTATTAACGCTTCGTTAGTGCTTTATTAGTGTGTAATTACTGTGTTGTTAGGGCTTTGTTAGTGCTTATTTAGTGCATTATTAGTGAGCCATTAACATATCATTATTGTCTCATTATTAGTGCATTATTTGGCCTTCATTAGTGCTTAATTAGTATAGTGCTTTATTAGTAGACTATTAGTGTTTCATATTTGCATATTATTAGATCGTTTTTAGTGCTTTATTTGATTGTTATTAGTGTGTTATTAGCATGGTATTAGCCCGTTATTACTGCATTATTAGCCCGTTTTAAGTGCGTCATTACTGCATTATTAGCACATTATTAGCCCATTATGATTGCATTATTAGCCCGTTAATAGTGTGTTGCTAGGCGGTTATCAGTGCATTATTAGTGTGTTATTAACCCATTATTATTGCCTTGCTAGCTTGTTATTAGCGCATTATTAGCCCGTTATTAGTGCATCCTTAGCCTGTTATTAGTCCATTATTTGCGTGTTATTAGCCTGTTATTAGCGCCTTATTAGCCTGTTATTAAACCTTTATTAGCGCATTATTAATGCGTTATTAGCCCGTTATTAGTACGTTATTAACCCGTTATTAGTGCAGCATTAGCCCGTTATTAAGCCGTTATTAGTCTGTTATTAATGCTTTATTAGCCCGTTATTAAACCATTACTAGCATGTTGTTACTACGTTATTAATGCGTTATTAGCGTGTTGTTAAGCTGTTATTAGCGTGGTATTAGCGCATCATTAATGCGTTATTAACCCGTTATTAGTGCATCATTAGTCCATCATTAGCCTGTTATTACTGCTTTATTAGCCCGTTATTAAAACGTTATTAGCGCATTATTAATGTGTAATTAGCCCGTTATTAGCACGTTATTAAGCTGTTATTATTTTGTTATTAGCCTGCTCTTAGCCCGTTATTAGCGCGTTTTTGGTGTGCTTTTACCTCGTCATTAGCGCATTATTAGCCCGTTATTAGTGCGTTATTAAGCTGTTATTAATTTGTTATTAGCCTGTTCTTAGCCCATTGTTAGTATGTTATTGGTCTGATATTACCTCATCATTAGTGCATTATTAGTCTGTTATTAGTGCGTTATAAAGCAGTTATTAGCCTGTTATTAACCTGTTATCATTGCATTGTTAAGCTGTTACTAGCATGTTATTAGCACGTTATTGCCGTGTCATTAGTGTGTGTTATTAGCCAGTTATTAATGCATCATTAGCCCGTTATTAGCCCGTTATTAGCGCTAATAATTAGTGTGTGTCCCCCCCCCAGTGCTGCACGAGCTGCGAGGACAACGCGGCGGCCACCAGTTACTGCGTGGAGTGCTCGGAGCCGCTGTGCGGGACGTGCGTGGAGGCGCACCAGCGCGTCAAGTACACCAAGGACCACACCGTGCGCGCCATGGGTGCGCCCCACCGCCCCCCGCTGCCCCTTGGCACCCCTTGGGGGCCCTATGGGGGCCTCTTGGTGGCCCTTGATGGCGTCGCCGTGATGGCACGATGACGTTGCTGTGACGGCATGATGACGATGACGTCACCGTAACGCCGCAATGATGCCATCACCGTAATGGCACAATGATGTTGCCGTAACACCATGATGATGACATTGCCGTGATGGCACGATGACGTTGCCGTGATGGCACGATGACGTTGCCGATGACATCGCGGTGATGGCACGATGACGTTGCCGATGACATCGCGGTGACGGCACGATGACGTTGCCATGATGGCACGATGACGTTGCCGATGACGTTGCCGTGATGGCACGATGACGTTGCCAATGACATCGCGGTGATGGCACGATGACGTTGCCATGATGGCACGATGACGTTGCCGATGACATCGCCGTGATGGCACGATGACGTTGCCATGATGGCACGATGACACCGTGATGGCACGATGACGTTGCCGTGATGGCACGATGACGTTGCCGATGACATCGCCGTGACGGCACGATGACGTTGCTGTGATGGCACGATGACGTTGCCGATGACATCGCGGTGATGGCACGATGACGTTGCCATGATGGCACGATGACGTTGCCGATGACATCGCCGTGACGGCACGATGACGTTGCCATGACGGCACGATGACGTTGCCGATGACATCGCGGTGATGGCACGATGACGTTGCCGTGATGGCACGATGACGTTGCCGATGACGTTGCCGTGATGGCACGATGACGTTGCCGATGACATCGCGGTGATGGCACGATGACGTTGCCAATGACATCGCGGTGATGGCACGATGACGTTGCCGTGATGGCACGATGACGTTGCCGATGACGTTGCCATGATGGCATGATGACGTTGCCAATGACATCACGGTGATGGCACGATGACGTTGCCATGATGGCACGATGACGTTGCCGATGACGTTGCCATGATGGCATGATGACGTTGCCGATGACATCACGGTGATGGCACGATGACGTTGCCGTGATGGCACGATGACGTTGCCGATGACGTTGCCGTGATGGCACGATGACGTTGCCGTGACGGCACGATGACGTTGCCGATGACATCGCGGTGACGGCACGATGCCGATGACGTCGCCGTGACGCCACGCTGACCGTGACGTCGCCGTGACGGCACGACGATGACGTCACGGTGACGTCACCCCCCCTTTCCCCTTCCCAGGCGGCGGCCGCGCCGCGGCGCGCACCCTCTTCTGCCCCGTGCACCGGCAGGAGCCGCTGGCGCTGTTCTGCGCCACCTGCGAGGCGCTCACGTGCCGCGACTGCCAGCTCGGCGCACACCAGGACCACCGGTGAGGCCGGGGGGGAATGAACTGGGTGTGAGCGGGGAATTAATTGGGTATTAACGGGAATTAATTGGGTGTTAACGGGGGAATTAATTGGGTGTTAACGGGGGAATTAATTGGGTATTAACGGGGAATTAATTGGGTGTTAACGGGGGAATTAATTGGGTATTAACGGGAATTAATTGGGTGTTAACGGGGAATTAATTGGGTGTTAACGGGGGAATTAATTGGGTGTTAACGGGGAATTAATTGGGTGTTAACGGGGGGGATTAATTGGGTGTTAACAGGGGAATTAATTGGGTGTTAACGGGGGGAATTAATTGGGTGTTAACGGGGGAATTAATTGGGTATTAACGGGAATTAATTGGGTGTTAACGGGGGGAATTAATTGGGTGTTAACGGGGAATTAATTGGGTGTTAACGGGGGAATTAATTGGGTGTTAACGGGGGAATTAATTGGGTGTTAACGGGAATTAATTGGGTATTAACGGGAATTAATTGGGTGTTAACGGGAATTAATTGGGTGTTAACGGGGGAATTAATTGGGTGTTAAAAGGAATTAATTGGGTATTAACGGGAATTAATTGGGTGTTAACGGGGGGAATTAATTGGGTAGGGAGGGGATGAATTGGTTATTAAGGGGGTTAATTGGGTATGGGGGGATGAATTAATTGGGTATGGGGGGGATTAATTGATTGGGTATGGAGAAGATTAATTAATTGGGTATGGAGGGCGTTAATTAATTGGGCATGAAGAGGATTAATTAATTGGGTATGAAGGAGATTAATTGGGTATGGAGGGAATTAATTAATTGGGTATGGGGGGATTAATTAATTGGGTATGGAGGGGATGAATTAATTCGGTACCCCTCCCGTTCCTCAGCACCCATGGGTGCCCTGTCCCCCCCCATTCCCCAGCACCCATGGGTGCTCTGTATCCCCTTTATTCCCCAGCACCCATGGATGCCCTGTGCCCCCCCCATTCCCCAGCACCCATGGGTGCTCTGTCCCCCCCCCGTTCCCCAGCACCCATGGGTGCCCTGTGCCCCCCCCATTCCCCAGCACCCATGGGTGCTCTGTCCCCCCCCCCCCCCATTCCCCAGCACCCATGGGTGCCCTGTGCCCCCCCCGTTCCCCAGCACCCATGGATGCCCTGTGCCCCCCCCAGTCCCCAGCACCCATGGGTGCCCTGTGTCCCCCCCCATTCCCCAGCACCCATGGGTGCCCTGTGTCCCCCCCATTCCCCAGCACCCATGGGTGCCCCCATGGGGGCCCGGTGCCCCCCCATTCCCCAGCACCCATGGGTGCCCTGTGCCCCCCCCATTCCCCATCACCCATGGGTGCCCTGTCCCCCCCCCCATTCCGCAGCACCCATGGGTGCCCTGTCCCCCCCCCCTTCCCCAGCACCCATGGGTGCCCTGTCCCCCCCCCATTCCCCAGCACCCATGGGTGCCCTGTGTCCCCCCCCATTCCCCAGCACCCATGGGTGCCCTGTGCCCCCCCCATTCCGCAGCACCCATGGGTGCCCTGTGTCCCCCCCCATTCCCCAGCACCCATGGGTGCCCTGTGCCCCCCCCCGTTCCCCAGCACCCATGGGTGCTCTGTGTCTCCCCACAGGTACCAGTTCCTGGAGGAGGCCGTGCGGGGGCAGCGGCAGCAGCTCCTGGCGCTGCTCAAGCGCCTCGGGGACAAGCAGGCGGCGCTGCAGCGAGCGGCCCGCGACGTGCGCGCCTTGTGCGTAACCTGCCCCATAGCGGGGGGGTGTGAGACCCATAGCAGGGGGTGAGACCCATAGAGGGGGGTGAGACCCATAGCGGGGGGTGAGACCCATAGCGGGGGGTGAGACCCATAGCGGGGAGTGAGACCCATAGCGGGGAGTGAGACCCATAGAGGGGGGTGAGACCCATAGAGGGGGAGTGAGACCCATAGAGGGGGGTGAGACCCATAGACCCATAGAGGGGGGTGAGACCCATAGCGGGGGGTGAGACCCATAGCGGGGGGTGAGACCCATAGAGGGGGGTGAGACCCATAGAGGGGGAGTGAGACCCATAGCGGGGGGTGAGACCCATAGCGGGGGGTGAGACCCATAGAGGGGAGTGAGACCCATAGAGGGGGGTGAGACCCATAGCGGGGGGTGAGACCCATAGCGGGGGGTGAGACCCATAGAGGGGGGTGAGACCCATAGCGGGGGGTGAGACCCATAGAGGGGGGGTGAGACCCATAGAGGGGGGTGAGACCCATAGCGGGGGGGTGAGACCCATAGCGGGGGGGTGAGACCCATAGCGGGGGGTGAGACCCATAGCGGGGGGTGAGACCCATAGAGGGGGGTGAGACCCATAGAGGGGGGTGAGACCCATAGCGGGGGGTGAGACCCATAGAGGGGGGTGAGACCCATAGCGGGGAGTGAGACCCATAGCGGGGGGTGAGACCCATAGAGGGGGGTGAGACCCATAGCGGGGGGTGAGACCCATAGCGGGGGGTGAGACCCATAGAGGGGAGTGAGACCCATAGAGGGGAGTGAGACCCATAGCGGGGGGTGAGACCCATAGAGGGGAGTGAGACCCATAGAGGGGGGGTGAGCCCCATAGCGGGGGGTGAGCCCCATAGAGGGGGGGTGAGACCCATAGAGGGGAGTGAGACCCATAGCGGGGGGTGAGACCCAGAGAGGGGGGGTGAGACCCATAGAGGGGGGTGAGACCCATAGCGGGGGGGTGAGACCCATAGAGGAGGAGTGAGACCCATAGAGGGGGGCCAGCCCCATAGCAGGGGCAGTCAGCCCTATAGCAGGGGAACTGGGCCCATAGCGGGGGAGCTGGGCCCATAGAGGAGGAGTCAGCCCCATAGTGGGGGGGATCCAGCCCCATAGGGTGAGATCTGAGCCCCATAGTGGGGGGATCCAGCCCCATAGGGTGAGATCTGAGCTCCATAGTGGGGGAGCCGGGCCCATAGAGGGGGAGTCAGCCCCATAGCGGGGGGGATCCAGCCCCATAGCGGGGGATCCGGGCCCATAGCGGGGGGGATGCAGCCCCATAGGGTGATATCTGAGCCCCATAGCGGGGGATCCAGCCCCATAGCGGGGGGTGAATGCAGCCCCATAGGGTGAGATCTGAGCCCCATAGCAGGGGATCCAGCCCCATAGCGGGGGGGATGCAGCCCCATAGCGGGGGGGGGATGCAGCCCCATAGGGTGCATCCTCCGCCCCATAGTGGGGGACCCGGACCCATAGCGGGGGGGATGCAGCCCCATAGCGGGGGGGGATGCAGCCCCATAGGGTGAGATCTGAGCCCCATAGCAGGGGATCCAGCCCCATAGCGGGGGGTGAATGCAGCCCCATAGGGTGAGATCTGAGCCCCATAGCAGGTGAGCCGGGCCCATAGCGGGGCGGGGGAATGCAGCCCCATAGGGTGCATCCTCCGCCCCATAGCGGGGGGGATCCAGCCCCATAGGGTGAGATCTGAGCCCCATAGCAGGGGATCCAGCCCCATAGCAGGGGGGATGCAGCCCCATAGGGTGCATCCTCTGCCCCATAGCGGGGGGATCCAGCCCCATAGCGGGGGGGGGATGCAGCCCCATAGGGTGCATCCTCCGCCCCATAGCGGGGGGGATCCAGCCCCATAGGGTGAGATCTGAGCCCCATAGCGGGGGGGATCCGGCCCCATAGCGGGGGGGGATGCAGCCCCATAGGGTGCATCCTCCGCCCCATAGCAGGGGGGATCCAGCCCCATAGCGGGGGGGGGATGCAGCCCCATAGGGTGCATCCTCCGCCCCATAGCGTGCCTTGCGTTCCCTCCCGCTCCGTGCCCCACACGCGCAGCATGCGGCGCGTGGCGGAGGTGCAGAAGCGGGTGCAGGTGGAGGTGAAGGTGGCCATCCTGCAGATCATGAAGGAGCTCAACAAGAGGGGCCGGGTGCTGGTCAGCGATGCTCAGGTCAGCCCCATAACCACCACCCCCTTCCATTCCCCCTGCCCCATAACCACCGCCCCATAACGCCTGCCCCATTGCAGCGCGTCACCGAGGGCCAGCAGGAGAGGTTGGAGCAGCAGCATTGGGCCATGACCCAGCTGCAGCAGCGGCACGAACACGTCCTGCGCTTCACGTCCTGGGCGCTGCAGAGGGACAACAGCGCCGCATTGCTGCTCTGCAAGAGGCTGGTGAGGGGCTCTGCGCCCCACATCCCGTCATAGGGACCCACATCCTGTCATAGGGACCCACATCTCCTCATAGAGACCCACATCTTGTCATAGAGACCCCTAACCCAGCCCCATCCCATCCCAATCCCATCCCAACCCATCCCAGCCCATCCCAACCCATCCCAGCGCCGCACTGCTGCTCTGCAAGAGGCTGGTGAGGGGCTCTGCGCCCCACATCCCGTCATAGGGACCCACATCCTGTCATAGAGACCCACATCTTGTCATAGGGACCCACATCCCATCATAGGGACCCCTAACCCAGCCCCATCCCATCCCCATCCCATCCCAACCCATCCCAGCGCCGCATTGCTGCTCTGCAAGAGGCTGGTGAGGGGCTCTGCGCCCCACATCCCGTCATAGGGACCCACATCCCATCATAGGGACCCACATCTTGTCATAGGGACCCACATCCCATCATAGGGACCCCTAACCCAGCCCCATCCCATCCTCATCCCATCCCAACCCATCCCAGCGCCGCATTGCTGCTCTGCAAGAGGCTGGTGAGGGGCACAGTGCCCCACATCCTGTCACAGGGACCCACATCCCATCATAGGGACCCACATCCCCTCATAGAGACCCACATCCCCTCATAGGGACCCACATCCCATCATAGGGACCCACATCTTGTCATAGGGACCCACATCCCCTCATAGGGACCCACATCCCATCATAGGGACCCACATCTTGTCATAGGGACCCACATCCCATCATAGGGACCCACATCCCATCATAGGGACCCCTAACCCAGCCCCATCCCATCCCAACCCATCCCAGCGCCGCATTGCTGCTCTGCAAGAGGCTGGTGAGGGGCTCTGCGCCCCACATCCCATCACAGGGACCCACATCCTGTCATAGGGACCCACATCCCCTCATAGAGACCCACATCCCGTCATAGACCCAGATCCCCTAGGGAACCCAGCCCCATCCCAGCCCCATTCCATCCCAATCCCATCCCAACCCATCCCAACCCATCCCAGCGCCGCATTGCTGCTCTGCAAGAGGCTGGTGAGGGGCTCTGTGCCCCACATCCCATCATAGGGACCCACATCCCCTCATAGAGACCCACATCTTGTCATAGGGACCCACATCCCCTCATAGAGACCCACATCCCATCATAGGGACCCACATCCCATCACAGGGACCCACATCCCGTCATAGAGACCCACGTCCCATCATAGAGACCCACATCCTGTCATAGGGACCCACATCCCCTCATAGGGACCCACATCCCCTCATAGGGACCCACATCCCGTCATAGGGACCCACACCCCCCCAACCCCCTCCCATCACAGCCCCCCACATCCCCCCCCCCCCCCACCCCCACCCCAACCACCCCCAACCCCCCCACCCCCCCCAACCCCCTCCTACACCCCCCGACCCCCCAACCCCACCAAACCCCCCCAAACCCCCCCAACCCCCCCAACCCCCCCCCAAACCCCCCCCAACCCCCCCAAACCCCCCCAACAACCCCACCCCCACCCACCCCAACCCCCCCAACCCCCCCCCACCCCCCCCCAACCACCTCCTAGCCACCCCCCCAAAACCCCCCAACCCCACCCCCAAACCCCCCCAGGGCCCCCAACCCCCCCCCAAACCCCCCCAACCCCCCCGAAACCGCCACACCCCCCCTTCCCAACCTCCCACCCCCATCCCAACCACCCCCAAACCCCCCCAACCCCCTTCCAACCCCCCCAAACCCCCCCACCCCCATCCCAACCCCACCCCCACCCCCCCCCAAACCTCCCAACCACCCACAAACCCCCCCCACCCCCAACCCCCCCACCCCCATCCCAACCACCCCCAACCCCCCCAGCCCCTAAACCCCCCCAATCCCCCCATCCCAACGCCCTCCACCCCCCAAACCCCCCCCCACCATCCCCAACCCCATCCCAACCCCCCCAAACCCCCCAACCCCCTCCAAACCCCCCCCCCATCCCCACCCCCCAACCCCCCAAACCCCCCCCCAAACCCCCCCCCAAACCCCCCCAAACCCCCCCCCAACCCCCCCCAACCCCACCCCCCCCAACCCCCCCACCCCCATCCCAACCACCCCCAAACCCCCTCAACCCCATCCCACCCCCATCCCAACCCCATCCCAACCCCCCCCAAACCCCCCCATCCCCCCCCCAACCCCCCCAACCCCCCCCCAAACCCCCCCTACACCCCCCCAACCCCCCCATTCCCACCCCCAATCCCAACCCATATCCCCCCCCCATCCCAACCCCCCAAACCCCCCCAACCACCCCACCCCCAACCCCCCCAACCCTCCCCAACCCCACCCCCAACCCCCCCACCCCCATCCCAACCCCACCCCCAACCCCCCCACACCCATCCCAACCACCCCCAAACCCCCCCAACCCCACCCCCATCCCCCCCCAACCCCCTCCTACACCCCCCCAACCCCCCCATCCCCCCAAAATCCCAACCCACCCCCCCCCTGCCCCCCAGATCTGCCTGCAGCTGCAGGCCGCCCTCAAGGCCATGGTGGAGCCGGTGGAGCCCCAGGGGGAGATGAAATTCCAATGGGATCCCAGCGCCTGGACCCACAGCGCCGAGAGCTTCGGTGAGCCCTTACCTGGGGGGTGGTGGGGGGGATGTGGGGCAGCACCCATAGGGTGCCCCCCACCCACCCTTAACACCCCCCCATTGCAGGCAGCATCGTATCAGAGCGCAGCCTCCCCCCCCCGCTTCCAGCGCTCAGCCCCCATGGCTATGGGGCACCGCAGGTACCAATATAGGGCTGGGGGGTGGAGGTGTGGGGCAGCACCCATGGGTGCCCCCCCAACCAACCTTTAACCCCACCCCCTTATCAACAGGGTGCCCCCCAAGCCGTGGTGGTGAGCAAAGGGCAGCCCAGCCCCATAGCGCAAGGAGGGAGCTCGGCCCCCCGCAGTGGGGCTGAGGAAGGCTTGGGGGACCCCCCCTCGCTTCAGGGGCCACTTGGGGGGCAGAGTTTGGGGTGCCCCAACCTTTCCCCCCCACATCTTTACCCTGAGATGGGTGAGAGCGGTGGGGACACGGAGATGGGTGAGTTTGGGGGGGGATATGGGGCAGGGATATGGGGCACGGGGGGGGGGATATGGGGGGCAGGGGGGGGATATGGGGGGCACAAAAAGGGGGGGGCATAGGGGGAGGAAGGCTCCTCATGGGGGTTTCTTCAGCAGCCAATGGCCCCCCCGAAGCTGCTGGCACCGGAAGGAAGAGGTGGGTGATGGGGGGGGGACATGGGACCTTGGGCTTGTCCCTATAGCCCCATAGGGGACCCTATAGCCCCATAGGGGACCCTATAGCCCCATAGGGGACCCTATAGCCCCATAGGTGACCCTGTCCCTATAGCCCCATAGGGGACCCTGTCCCTATAGCCCCATAGGGGACCCTATAGCCCCATAGGGGACCCTGTCCCTATAGGTGACCCTATCCCCATCTCCCCATAGGTGACCCTATCCCATACCCCCATAGGTGTCCCTATCTCCCCATAGATCACCCTGTCCCCATCTCCCCATAGCTGTCCCCATCTCCCCATAGGTGTCCCCATCTCCCCATAGCTGTCCCCATCTCCCCATAGCTCCCCATCTCCCCATAGATCCCCATCTCCCCATAGATCCCCATCTCCCCATAGCCGTCCCCATCTCCCCATAGATCCCTATCTCCCCATAGCCGTCCCCATCTCCCCATAGATCCCCATCCCCCCATAGCTGTCCCCATCTCCCCATAGCCGTCCCCATCCCCCCATAGATCCCCATCTCCCCATAGATCCCCACCTCCCCATAGATCCCCATCTCCCCATAGCCGTCCCCATCCCCCCATAGCCGTCCCCATCTCCCCATAGATCCCCATCTCCCCATAGCCGTCCCCATCTTCCCATTGCCGTCCCCATCTCCCCATAGCCGTCCCCATCTCCCCATAGATCCCCATCTCCCCATAGATCCCCATCTCCCCATAGATCCCCATCTCCCCATAGATCCCCATCTCCCCATAGCTGTCCCTATCTCCCCATAGCCGTCCCCATCTCCCCATAGCCGTCCCCATCTCCCCATAGATTCCCTTCCCCCCATAGATCCCCATCTCCCCATAGCTCCCCATCTCCCCATAGGCGTCCCCATCTCCCCATAGATCCCCATCTCCCCATAGGCGTCCCCATCTCCCTATAGCCATCCCCATCTCCCCATAGCCGTCCCCATCTCCCCATAGATCACCCTATCCCCATCTCCCCATAGCTCTCCCCATCTCCCCATAGATCCCCATCTCCCCATAGCCGTCCCCATCTCCCCATAGCTCCCCATCTCCCCATAGATCCCCATCTCCCCATAGGCGTCCCCATCTCCCCATAGATCCCCATCCCCCCATAGATCCCCATCTCCCCATAGATCCCCATCTCCCCATAGATCCCCATCTCCCCATAGATCCCCATCTCCCCATAGATCCCCATCTCCCCATAGATCCCCATCTCCCCATAGATCCCCATAGATCCCCCATAGCCGTCCCCATCTCCCCATAGCTCCCCATCCCCCCATAGCCATCCCCATCGCCCCGCTGACCCCCCTCCCCCCCCCCCCCCAGGAGCTGCCCCCCCGGCTCCCCGCGCTTCCGGAAGGTTCCGCGGGTGCGCCTGGAGCGCCTGGAGCTGGGGCTGGAGCCGGGGGCGGCGCCGCTCTTCCGGGTGCTGCCGGGCCCCTCGGCGCGGGACTTCAGCCTCATCGTCATCGAGGGGGCGCGGGCCCCGCCCCCCGCCGTCAAGGTCAGGGCGCCCTCACCCACATCCATCCCCTCACTGACCCACATCCATCACAGCATTGACCCACATCTGTCCCGTCCCTGACCCACATCTGACCCATCGCGGCATTGACCCACATCTGTGCCATCACATCACTGACCCACATCTGTCCCATCGCGGCATTGACCCACATCCGTCACGTCACTGACCCACATCTGACCCATCGCGGCATTGACCCACATCTGACCCATCACTGACCCACATCTGACCCATCGCGGCATTGACCCACATCTGTCCTGTCACTGACCCACATCTGACCCATCGCGGCATTGACCCACATCCATCACAGCATTGACCCACATCTAACCCGTCACTGACCCACATCTGACCCATCGCGGCATTGACCCACATCCGTCACGTCACTGACCCACATCTAACCTGTCCCTGACCCACATCTGTCCCGTCCCTGACCCACATCTGACCCATCGCGGCATTGACCCACATCTGACCCATCCCTGACCCACATCTGTCCCATCGCGGCATTGACCCACATCCATCCCATCGCTGACCCACATCTGACCCATCACTGACCCACATCTGTGCCATCACTGACCCACATCTGTGCCGTCACTGACCCACATCCATCCCATCACTGACCCACATCTGACCCGTCACTGACCCACATCTGACCCGTCACTGACCCACATCTGACCCATCGCGTCACTGACCCACATCTGACCCATCCCTGACCCACATCTGTCCCATCGCGGCATTGACCCACATCCATCACGTCACTGACCCACATCTGACCCATCGCGTCACTGACCCACATCTGTCCCATCGCTGACCCACATGTGACCCATCGCGGCATTGACCCACATCTGACCCATCGCGTCATTGACCCACATCCATCACGTCACTGACCCACATCTGTCCCGTCCCTGACCCACATCTGACCCATCGCGGCATTGACCCACATCCGTCACGTCACTGACCCACATCTGACCCATCGCTGACCCACATCTGTCCCATCCCTGACCCACATCTGACCCATCGCGGCATTGACCCACATCCGTCACGTCACTGACCCACATCTGTCCCGTCACTGACCCACATCTGTCCCATCCCTGACCCACATCTGACCCATCGCGGCATTGACCCACATCTATCGCGGCATTGACCCACATCTAACCCGTCACTGACCCACATCTGACCCGTCACTGACCCACATCTGACCCATCGCGGCATTGACCCACATCCATCACGTCACTGACCCACATCTGACCCATCACGGCATTGACCCACATCTGTGCCGTCACTGACCCACATCTGTCCCGTTGCTGACCCACATTGATCCCATCACTGACCCACATTGATCCCATCACTGACCCACATCTGACCCATCACTGACCCACATCTGACCCATCGCGGCATTGACCCACATCCATCCCATCGCTGACCCACATTTAACCCGTCACTGACCCACATCTGACACATCACTGACCCACATCTGTGCCGTCCCTGACCCACATCTGACCCATCGCGTCACTGACCCACATCTGTGCCGTCACTGACCCACATCTGACCCATCGCGGCATTGACCCACATCCATCCCATCGCTGACCCACATCTAACCCGTCACTGACCCACATCTGACCCATCACTGACCCACATCTGTGCCGTCCCTGACCCACATCTGACCCATCGCATCACTGACCCACATCTGTGCCGTCACTGACCCACATCTGACCCATCGCGTCACTGACCCACATCTGACCCATCGCGGCATTGACCCACATCTAACCTGTCACTGACCCACATCTAACCTGTCACTGACTCACATCTAACCCCTCACTGACCCACATCTGTCCCATCGCTGACCCACATCTATCGCGTCACTGACCCACATCTGTCCCCTCGCTGACCCACATCTGTCCCATCGCGGCATTGACCCACATCTGACCCATCACTGACCCACATCTGTCCCATCGCTGACCCACATCCATTGCAGCATTGACCCACATCTGTCCCATCGCTGACCCACATCTATCGCGTCATTGACCCACATTGATCCCGTCACTGACCCACATCCATCCCATCGCTGACCCACATCTGTCCCGTCCCTGACCCACATCTGTCCCGTCCCTGACCCACATCTGACCCATCGCGGCATTGACCCACATCCGTCCCGTCCCTGACCCACATCTGTCCCATCGCTGACCCACATCCATCACATCATTGACACACATCTGTGCCGTCCCTGACCCACATCTGTCCCATCACTGACCCACATCTGACCCATCGCGGCATTGACCCACATCTGTCCTGTCACTGACCCACATCTAACCCGTCACTGACCCACATCCATCGCGTCATTGACCCACATTGATCACATCACTGACCCACATCCGTCCCATTGCTGACCCACATCCATTGCATGGCTGACCCACATCTAACCCATCGCTGACCCACATCTAACCCGTCACTGACCCACATCCATCGCGGCATTGACCCACATCTGTCCCATCGCTGACCCACATCTCTCCCGTCACTGACCCACATCTGTCCCATCACTGACCCACATCCATCGCGTCATTGACCCACATTGATCCCATCACTGACCCACATCCATCACAGCATTGACCCACATTGATCCCATCACTGACCCACATCTGTCCCATCCCTGACCCACATCTGTCCCATCCCTGACCCACATCTGACCCATGGCGGCATTGACCCACATCTGTCCCATCCCTGACCCACATCTGTCCCATCGCTGACCCACATCTGTCCCATCCCTGACCCACATTGATCCCATCGCTGACCCACATCCGTCCCGTCACTGACCCACATCCATCACGTCACTGACCCACATCTGTCCTGTCACTGACCCACATCTAACCCGTCACTGACCCACATCCATCGCGTCATTGACCCACATTGATCCCATCGCTGACCCACATTGACCCATCGCTGACCCACATCTGTCCCATCGCGGCATTGACCCACATCTGACCCATCGCAGCATTGACCCACATCTGACCCATCACTGACCCACATCCGTCCCATCACTGACCCACATCCGTCCCGTCACTGACCCACATCTGACCCATCGCTGACCCACATCTGACCCATCGCTGACCCACATCTGTCCCATCGCGTCATTGACCCACATCTAACCCGTCACTGACCCACATCTGACCCATCGCTGACCCACATCCGTCACGTCACTGACCCACATCTGTGCCGTCCCTGCCCCACATCCATTGCGTGGCTGACCCACATCCATCACGTCACTGACCCACATCTGTCCCATCGCGGCATTGACCCACATCTATCGTGGCATTGACCCACATCTGTCCCGTCACTGACCCACATCTGTGCCGTCCCTGACCCACATCTGTCCCATCGCGGCATTGACCCACGTTGATCCCATCGCTGACCCACATCTATCGCGGCATTGACCCACATCTATCTCAGCCCTGCCTCACATCTGTCCCATCGCGGCATTGACCCACATCTATCGCGGCATTGACCCACATCTGTGCTGTCCCTGACCCACATCTGTCCCGTCACTGACCCACATCTGTGCCGTCCCTGACCCACATCTGACCCATCGCTGACCCACGTCTGTCCCATCGCGGCATTGACCCACATCTAACCCGTCACTGACCCACATCTAATCCCTCACTGACCCACATCTGTCCCGTCACTGACCCACATTGATCCCATCACTGACCCACATCTGTCCCGTCACTGACCCACATCTGTCCCATCCCTGCCCCACATCCATCGCGGCATTGACCCACATCCGTCCCATCCCTGACCCACATCTGACCCGTCACTGACCCACATCTGTCCCATCGCTGACCCACATCTGTCCCATCGCTGACCCACATCCATCGCGGCATTGACCCACATCCGTCCCATCCCTGACCCACATCTGACCCGTCACTGACCCACATCTATCCCATCGCTGACCCACATCTGTCCCATCGCTGACCCACATTGATCCCATCACTGACCCACATCTAACCTGTCACTGACCCACATCTGTCCCATCGCTGACCCACATCTAACCCGTCACTGACCCACATCCGTCCCATCGCTGACCCACATCTAACCCGTCACTGACCCACATCTGTCCCATTGCTGACCCACATCTGTCCCCTCACTGACCCACATCTGTCTCATCGCTGACCCACGTCTATCCTGTCACTGACCCACATCCATCCCATCGCTGACTCACATTGATCCCATCGCTGACAAACATCCATTGCGTCATTGACCCACATCCATCATGTCATTGACCCACATCCCTCCCCTCACTGACCCACATCTATCGCGTCATTGAACCACATCTATCCCAGCCCTGCCCCACATCCATCCCCTCACTGACCCACATCTATCGCGTCACTGACCCACATCCGTCCCATCGCTGACCCACATCTAACTTGTCACTGACCCATATCCGTCCCATCACTGACCCACATTGATCCCATCACTGACCCACATCTATCGTGTGGCTGACCCACATCTAACCTGTCACTGCCCCACATCCATCCCATCCCTGCCCCCCCCCCCCTCACCCCTTTCCCTCCCCGCTTGCAGGAGGAGCAGCCGGAGGACACGAAGCCCCTTGGCGGCCATGGGGCAGCCGTGGGGCCGCCCCCCACGTCCTCCATGCTGGGCTCCGTGTCCTGCTGCCGCGTGTGCCGGCGCGCCGGGGCCGTGGTCATGTGCGACCGCTGCCAGCGCTGCTTCCACCTCGCCTGCCACCTGCCCGCCCTGCACGAGGTGCCCAGGTACCCGCCGCCCCATAGCGACCCATAGTGCCCCATGGCGACCCATAGCGACCCATAGCGACCCATAGCGACCCATAGCGCGCCCCATGGCGACCCATGGCGACCCATGGCGACCCATGGCGACCCATAGCACAACCCATAGCGCGGTCCATAGCGCCCCATGGCGACCCATAGCGACCCATAGCGCGGCCCATAGCGCCCCATGGCGACCCATGGCGACCCATAGCGCGGCCCATAGCGCCCCATGGCGACCCATAGTGCCCCATAGCGCCCCATGGCGACCCATAGCGACCCATAGCGCGATCCATAGCGCCCCATAGCGCCCCATAGCGCGGCCCATGGCGACCCATAGCGACCCATAGCGACCCATAGCGCGGCCCATAGCACCCCATGGCGACCCATAGCGCCCCATGGCGACCCATAGCGCGGCCCATAGCACCCCATGGCGACCCATAGCGCCCCATAGCGCAGTCCATAGCGCCCCATGGTGGCCCATAGTGCCCCATAGCGCCCCATAGTGCCCCATAGCGCCCCATGGCGCCCCATAGCGCCCCATAGGGCGGCCCATAGCGCCCCATAGCGCCCCATGGCGACCCATAGCGCGGTCCATAGCGCGGCCCATAGCGCGGCCCATAGCGACCCATAGCACGGCCCATAGCGACCCATAGCGCGGTCCATAGCGCCCCATGGCGACCCATGGCGACCCATAGCGCGGCCCATAGCGCCCCATGGCGACCCATAGCGACCCATAGCGACCCATGGCGACCCATAGTGCCCCATGGCGACCCATAGTGACCCATGGCGACCCATAGTGCCCCATGGCGACCCATGGTGACCCATAGCGACCCATAGCGCGGTCCATAGCGCCCCATGGCGCCCCATGGCGCCCCATGGCGACCCATGGCGCCCCATGGCGACCCATGGCGACCCATAGCGACCCATGGCGACCCATAGCGCGGTCCATGGCGCCCCATGGCGACCCATAGCGCCCCATGGCGACCCATAGCGCGGCCCATAGCGACCCATAGCGCGGTCCATAGCGACCCATAGCGCGGTCCATAGCGACCCATAGCGCGGCCCATAGCGACCCATAGCGCGGCCCATAGCGACCCATAGCGCGGTCCATAGCGCCCCATGGCGACCCATAGCGCGGTCCATAGCACGGGCCATAGCGACCCATGGCGACCCATGGCGACCCATGGCGCCCCATGGTGGCCCATAGCGCGGTCCATGGCGCCCCATGGCGACCCATAGTGACCCATAGCGCCCCATGGCGACCCATAGCGCCCCATAGCGCGGCCCATAGCGACCCATAGCGCGGTCCATAGCGCCCCATGGCGACCCATGGCGACCCATAGCGCCCCATAGCGACCCATGGCGACCCATGGCGCGGTCCATAGCGTGGTCCATAGTGCCCCAGCACCCCATAGCGCCCCATGGCGACCCATAGCGCCCCATAGTGCGGTCCATAGCGCGGTCCGTAGCGCCCCATAGCGCCCCATGGCGACCCATAGCGCCCCATAGCACCCCATGGCGCTCCATAGCGCCCCATGGCGACCCATAGCGCCCCATAGCGCCCCATAGGGCGGCCCATAGCGCCCCATAGGGCATCCCATAGCGCCCCATGGCGGCCCATAGGGCAGCCCATAGCACCCCATGGTGCCCCATGGCGGCCCATAGTGCCCCATAGGGCGGCCCATAGCGCCCCATAGCGACCCATAGGGTGGCCCATAGCACCCCAGCACCCCATAGCGCCCCATAGGGCGGCCCATAGCGCCCCATAGGGCGGCCCATAGCACCCCATGGCGGCCCATAGCGCCCCATAGCGCCCCATAGGGCGGCCCATAGCACCCCATAGCGCCCCATAGGGCATCCCGTAGCGCCCCATGGCACCCCATGGTGCCCCATAGGGCCCCCCATAGCGCCCCATAGGGCATCCTGTAGCGCCCCATGGCAACCCATAGCACCCCATGGCGGCCCATAGCGCCCCATGGCGGCTCATAGCGCCCCATAGGGTGCCCCATGGTGGCCCATAGCGCCCCATAGCGCCCCATTTCAGCTCATAGCACCCCATACGGTCCCATAGCGCCCCATAGGGCATCCCATAGTGCCCCAGAGGCCCGCCCAGAGGGGACCATAGGGTCCAAGGGCATCCCATAGGGGCCCATAGGGTGTCCCATAGCGTCCCATAGCGCCCCATAGGGTCCCATAGGGTGTCCCATAGGGGCCCATAGGGTCCAAGGGTGTCCCATAGGGTCCCATAGGGTCCCATGGCACCCCATACGGTCCCATAGGGCGTCCCAGAGGGGCCCATAGAGTGTCCCATAGGGGCCCATAGGGTCCCATAGGGTGTCCAATAGGGGCCCATAGGGTGTCCCATAGGATCCAATGGAGTCCCATAGGGTCCCATAGGGCGTCCCATAGGGGCCCATAGGTCCCATGGCGTCCCATGGGTCCCATAGGGGCCAATGGCGTCCCATAGGGGCCAAGGGTGTCCCATAGGGTCCCATAGCATCCCATAGGGTCCAAGGGCACCCCATAGGATCCAAGGGTATCCCATAGGATCCAAGGGCATCCCATAGGATCCAAGGCCATCACTTCCCTGCTGACCCCCTACCCCCCGTTGCTCCCATAGCCCCGAATGGAAGTGTTTGCTCTGCCAGGACCTGCCCCCCCCCAGCCAGGACCTCACCGAGGGGGCCCCCCAGAAGCTGTGCCCCTCGGACCAGCAGGTACACGGGGATGGGACTGAGGGATCCAATGGAATTCCAATGGGATCCAATGGGATCCACGCATCCCTTTAACCCCCTTTTCCCCTATAGAAGTGTGAGCTGGTCCTGCTGCAGCTCCTGTGCCACGAGCCCTGCCGGCCCCTCCATCGCCTTTCCAGCTCCACGGTGAGTGCCATGCTTCCTTAGGGAATCAATGGGGTGGGGAATAACGGATCCCTTCCCACTTTGGGAATCCTCCTTCCCATAGGATACCCCCCATCCCATCGACCTGACCCTCATACGGGCCCGGCTGCAGGAGAAGCTCAGCCCCCATTACCGCAGCGCCGAGGAGTTCGCCCGCGACACCTGGAGGCTCCTGAGGCAGTTCAGTTCCCAAAGCGAGGTGGGATGTTGGGAATGCGGGTTGGGATATAGGGAAAGAGCCCCCTTTTTCCCTAAAAAAAAACCTTTATTTTCCTTCTCCCATTTATTCCAGGATAAGGAACACGTTCAATCCATCCTGGCCTTGCAAAGCTTCATCGAATCCCGCCTCAGCGCTGCCTTCGGCGACGGCAAGTTCCCGGCTGCCCGATTCCTTATGGAACCCCTGGTCCCTAGGGATGAGGTTCCGGGCACCCCAATTCCCCCCCATCCTGGTGTTGGGGGGCCCTGAGGCCTTCCTATGGTGTGTGTGTGTGTCCCTTGGAGGAATAAACCCATGGTTGAGCCCCCCCCTTTCCCCCCCAAAATCCCATCCTTCCCAAGGGAGTTACTGGGATGAGGAATGGAATCGGGATGGTCCCAATCTGGGCCCCATAGCACCCACCCCCTCCTCCCTGCCCCACATTTGCCATCCTCAATCCAGGCTGGAGCAGAGATTGGAGGTGGGAATTCCGGGAATAGCCGATGTTTTCCGGTGGGGCACGAAGGGAGGGGGACCGGAAAGAGCCGAAGATGCTCGGGAGGGGGGGGGGACCGCCCCTTAGTCCGGAAAGAGCCGAAGCGGCTCCGGAAAGAGCCGAAGATGCTCGGGAGGAGGGGGGCGGGGGGGACCGCCCCTTAGTCCGGAAAGAGCCGAAGCGGCTCCGGAAAGAGCCGAAGATGCTCGGGGAGGGGGGGACCGCCCCTTAGTCCGGAAAGAGCCGAAGCGGCTCCGGAAAGAGCCGAAGATGCTCGGGAGGGGGGGGGGGGACCGCCCCTTAGTCCGGAAAGAGCCGAAGCGGCTCCGGAAAGAGCCGAAGATGCTCGGGAGGGGGGGGTGGGGGGGACCGCCCCTTAGTCCGGAAAGAGCCGAAGCGGCTCCGGAAGGAGCCGAAGATGCTCGGGGCGGGGGGGGACCGCCCCTTAGTCCGGAAAGAGCCGAAGCGGCTCCGGAAAGAGCCGAAGTGGGTCCGGAAAGAGCCGAAGTGGGTCCGGAAAGAGCCGAAGATGCTCGGGGCGGGGGGGGACCGCCCCTTAGTCCGGAAAGAGCCGAAGTGGCTCCGGAAAGAGCCGAAGCTGCTCGGGAGGGG